CGATGATGAAATTCGTTGCCAACGCTTTTAAAAGTCGATTTTTATCGATTTTATCGATTCGTTGTTGCAGCCCTAACATGAACCTTTAACAGAAAGACAACAAACAAAAACGGTAATATTACAATAACAGGACGGACAATCTTTCACCAAACCTTGGAGTAAGATTTTGAAATAGTTTGGACAGGCAACCATTGTTACAGTTAGATTGAAAGGCTCTGAGGACAGGTGCAGCTCTAGGATTTAACTGAAACAAAGTGGCAAAATGTGGAATTTTTAAAGCGCACTTACTGTTACTGAAAAATAAATGATCCTTAGTTAAGTGGAACACATTCACAGAAAATATACATTGTTTTCTATATTCTGGTGATTTTCAGATAATTTGACCAAAAGTATGGGCCCTACTAAAATACTTGCATCTACTGTAAACTAAGAATTTCACAACAGTGTTTATTAATAATTCTATGCAGCTCAAGTAAATTAAACAATGTGAAACAAATGAGTTATTACTGAATTACTGGCACTAATACAGGAACCATTGCAATGGAATCCCGTGCAAACTACACTGTGTATGAATATTTGGTAATACGCCAAGGATTAAAAACTTAATTCATTATCTTATTACATTTTTACAATTGACAATTCAGACCTTCTAAGAGGCTGTAGATTCTATAAAAACCACGACACAAGAAAGCTTTTCTGTGGATGTTTTATTATAGTACATGTGATGGAAATTAAGTTTTTTTTTTACATATTTAATGGACCTAAATACATCCATCTGGTTTCTCCTCTATAAATCCTGGATAACTGAGTTGTTCTGCACATCCTCTCTCTATGCGGTTGGTCTTTTCTTGGGTGGCTGATCTTTTGAAAAATAAAATGGTTCTTTTCTGTTGTGGATCTCCTATGGGTTTGTGAGGCAGATCTGAAAGCTTTAAGAATTTGGTTTAATTTATTGTTGGTTTAATTAGTCCTAAAATCCAACAGGAGATTATTCAACTAGACTGAGGAATAATTATTTTACTTGTGAGCAAAACATGGACTAAAACTGGGACTAAACCAGGAGGCTAAATTAGAGGAAACGAGGTTTAAATCTTGATTTAAAAAAACAAAACAGCTCTAGATGTAGAGAAAACAAACCATTTGATCTGATTCTACACTCTCTCCACATTGATTATTTAACCCAGCTGCTGTATAGCTGATTCATATTTAATCAAGTACTTTGCTTCAAATCTTCATTAATTTCCAAAGTGATCTTAGTCCTGACGAGATAAGATAAAATTCAAATATAAATGCTCATCATAAATGCTAGGAAATCTTTTTTCGATGTCTGGCTCAGGTCCAGCTCTGCTTCTCTCAGAGCAGTGAAAAGGTGGGCTGGAGCTAAAATGCGGACTTGATATGAACTTGGCATGTCCCTGTATGTGCAGACTGAATTTTTATCAGCATTGTATTTTGATATATAAATAAGTGGAATGGAGTTGAGTTTTAATGTCCGTCATTATGTTTGCGTGACAAAATGGAGATAAGGAGTGATATCGTGTGAAGACAGTGAGAAGCGGGAGTCTCAGTCCCAATGGGTGAGAGTTGACAGCCCTGCAATAAAAATTTTCTTAAGATTATTTTCATTTTAGCTTGTCAAGGACAAGCAAAGGGTCTACCTTATTATTAGCACATATCCTAATACAGTTCTGGTATTTTCCACAATAGCTTAATGTCTTCAGTTTCTTTACAAAGGATATCATTCGAGATATAATATTTAACTGAATAAACAACACTTTTCATTTTACTACTCTCAGGCGCTTATTGTTTGTTAAAAACTAGCTTTCCAAAGTTTTAACACAATGGACTAGTGTCCACCAGTAGATAAAAGCGTTGTTGCGGCCAGGACATTTGGGAGATGCACCATTAACTTTTTGTCTGGAAAATATGAGCAAGTGTAAATGTAACGAAATTGGCTATCCAGCCAATGGCTAAAACCAGTACCAGGGGACATACATGAGGCACAGTGTATTTTGTGCAAAAAATTATTCAAGCTCGGCGCGATGGGAATTAAGGCAGTTGAGTCACACATGCGAAGCGCGAAACACAAAGCGTCAAAATCGAGTTATCGAGACACAGCCGGTATTTCTCAGTTTTGTTCCACCCTTGTCACTGCAACGC